GGTACGCACCTTTCCCCTAGTACAAAAAAGGTCACTAAGGCCTCTAACTCGGGCATACGCCCGGAGCGGAGGGTTCGTCGCTGAAACGTTTGCTGATCATGATGGTCTCATGCCTTTAACAGGCCCACCCAGGAGCGCCATAAAAACGTCTATGTAACATTTGCCCAAATACTACACAGCGACGGAGCGTAGAAAAAGTGCCTATTAATGACTGGCAGGCGTCAGTTACCTTAATCCTACTCGTTTTTCACCGTCTCGACCTTGCCAGTTGACTTTCTGGTCTGTTTAGGGCTAAATAAAAAGTTACTATTTTTAGGCCATCAGTCAAACGATTTTTGATCAACTTTCGTTTACATGCGAACACAACCACATAGCTGAGTCTCGGATCCTCAGACTACGTTATTGCTATTAAAAACACGGCTAGAGTATGCTATTTTAATATGTTTTTGGTGACAGTTCTATATTAAATCCATTGGAGATGGATTAACTCTTTCCTCTTCCTAGCTACTCATATTCTAAAGTATCAAACAGTACCGGTGTCAATTCAAAGTTCTATGGCATCAGAGTAGCTAAAAAGTTAGTTTACTACAGTCTTTCACCATACTCTGGGGGACCAAGCCTCCGCTTCCGTGTTGTTGTTAAGGCCTTTTCTCTCTGCTTCGTGCTTCGTCGGAAAGTTGCGCTGTGCCAATCTGGCAGAATGGCACAGTAAAACACACTCAAGAAAATTAAATTGGGTACGTACATACCGACACGACTTCCATAAACGAGTAACTAAATTAAAAACCGACTCTAGAATTATTCCCGTATTTAAAATTAACCCAAGAAGTTTGGACTGAAAAGGTTTTCACTCAAGACGCAAGCTTTCTGTTTTGACCATTGGGCAGCTTGTGGGCAGCTTCAGCTGTCCACTTTTACACCGAAGGTTCACTCTGGTCCATTCAATTCTTCTGTGTATCTTCTCGTCACGACTTGACGACTTGTTCTTTCTCTAGGAATAAGGCAGCTTTACTCTCGCTCGATTTATACGGCGAAATTGCGAATAGCAATTTCAATTCCTATTTTTTGTACTACTTTCCCGCGATTGTAGTTCGATTCTTCTGATTATATTTTCTTGTTTTTTTCAGCTCTCGCGAGAAACTTGACCATAACATGCTCAATTCGAAATTTAGAAAAATTGCGTTTCACCCCAAAACCAAGACTAAACGTTGCTCAAGGTCAAACTTCCAAATATGACCCACTGGCACGGCGTTGCTCAAGGTCAAACTTCCAAATATGAGCGACTGGCACAGAGATTCATGAAAATTTCACGAAGAGTTTGACAAAATTTTAAGTTCTCATCTCTATAGGGAGGCTCTGTTGAGGGACTCTCAGGAGTTGCAATTTTTTCCTTCAAATGTGACTGCTCAAATCCTTATACTTTTCGAGGTCTGACGTTTTCTTGATTTATTCGAAAAAATTTCAGAAAACTTAAATTTAAAAGTATTTTCCAAAATTTGAAATTGACAACCTTGTAATTCAGGGCTGTTATGATACTCTCAGGGGTTGCGAGTCTCATCTCCAAGTCTTACTGTTCAAATCTTTTTCGAGAAATGACGTTTTTTATAGTTTTTCAAAAATCTTTCTAAGTACTCAAATTTGAAGTTTCGCCAAGTTTGGAATTTCCAACGCTGGAATTGGCAACTGTTAGATTTCTCTCAAGAGCTGCAAACTTTGGATCCAAATGCGACTGCTCATTTGCTTTGAATTTCCGAGATGTTTTTTTAATGTAATGGACCCTCTACCTGGTACAATATAGCTTTTTAACTTAGTTAAAACTTCTACTGCTTCCGATGTTTTCTCAATAAACTCCATTATCTTACGATTATCTTCCTTTTGGTCGTACAAATCGGAGTAAATCTTGTATAATGCTGATTTTTGAAGTCCATTAAATTCTTCTTGGCTAAGTTTTTTGCTTGACATGGTTAAAATGGATGCAAATGACTGGTAACTGGAAGGACAGTATTTGATAATGACTTCAGATCCTGTATTTCTGCTAAATAATTTAATTACAGTGCTGAGATAACTATTTTTTTCTGCAAAATAATTTCCTTTTCTCTGCTGTATACTTTTCTTCTGCAAATATAAGTTTTTTTCCTTTCCCAAATTTAATTTGTTCGCTCGTCTGATTCGATCAAGCAATGACTACCTGTTTTTCTGCTGATAAATATGTACTGCTAGAAATAAATTTTTCCTGCAAGAAATTTCTTTTTCTGTCGAATATTTTTTCTGTAAAACAGTTTTCTTTTTCTGTTGAATAGCTTTAATTTTTTTGTTCTTCTAAATTGTTTTTTTTTGTAACTGTCTTTTTCTTTTGCCAAATTCGGTTTTTTAATACAGATTTTCGAATAAAGCATGTATGGAATTTTCCAAATTTTAGGGTTTGATAATATAATGCACGGATGTTTTGTTTTTATTCGAATAAATTTTCTAGTTCAGACTAATCTTTATGTAAACGACTGTATTTTTGTTTTTAGAAAATTTTCATTTAGTGTTTGAAGGTCAGAAAGATCAAACGCGAAAATAATGAAAAAAGAGCAAAAAAAAGCCGGCTGATTTCTAGCTGCTGTTAATTTTTGGTCTGAAAATTATAGGCCTATCATTATAACTGGCTCTCTCAAAAATTTTTGAAAAATTGTTATATAAACAAATCAACGAATATCTGATATCCCAAAAATTACTAAGTAATACCCAGTTTGGATTCAGAACATCAAATTCAACAATCGACGCTATTCTTTATTGCACTGAAGCATTCAGAAAAGCAATAGACAACAACAAAACTGTTGCATGTTCCTTACTGGATCTTTCTAAAGCATTTGATTCTATTGATCATACTTATCTTAAACAGAAACTAGAAGGGTTAAACTTTTCCGAAAAAGCTATAGAAATGATCAATTAATTTATCACCAACCGAAGCCAGAAAACAATTGTTAACAACACCGAATCCGATTGAATTGCACTTGAGCAGGGTGTCCCACAGGGCACTGTCCTTGGCCCTCTACTATTCAATCTCTACATTAACGATCTCAACAAACAAATTGACAAAACATGTAAAGTAGTTCAAAATGCGGATAATACTTTACTATTCTGTGAAAATAACGATCCACAAAAAGCTATTAAAGCACTCGAAGCCAATTGCAGCCTGTTGTCAAACTATTTTTCAGAACACTCACTTCAATTGAATGCAAAAAAAAACAGAACTCATCGTTTTCAGCAAGAAACATTCAAGGAAAAAGGATGAAAAGTATACTATAACTCTGGATGACAAACTAATTGAGGAGAAAACCAATGTTAAATACCTATGAGTAGTTTTAGATCAGTTTCTCACATTCCAAGATGAAATCAAAATTATTCTCAGGAAAATGGCATGCGGAATATAAACACTTCAATCAATCAAAAAGCCATTGCCAGTGAAAACAAGACACTTGATAATGCATGCACTGGTAATTAGTCATTTGCATTACCCAGCAACTCTTTTAAGTGGAATATCCGCTAACCTAATAATATCTCTGGAAAACCAGTTAAGCTGGGCAGTAAAAATTTGCTGCGATCGTGCAAAATACGACTCATCTTCAGACTTGAAGCTAAAACACAACATATTACCAGTAACAATGTTTCTGCACTATAAAATATTATGTCACTTTTTTTGAAAATACATTTATTGCCAGCCTATTATAACATTGAGTATGATAACCACCAAATAGATACTAATACAAGAACCAAAAAAATATATTTCCGCAACAGATACAATGGCCAATACATAGAAAATTCCTTCTTTAAAAAGTCCGTCATAATCTGGAACAAACTAACAGATGATAAAGTCATCTTTAAAGAAATAGTAACATACAGTAAAAGCAAAGATAAAATTCAAGAATTATTATTTATTATTATTTAAAGAAGACCCCTCTGTGGCAACTCATGGTAAAGTTTCATGGAAAAGTTTCAAGTTTGTATAATAACATTAAATTTAAACCACCTTGAAGCTCTCAGGTGAAAGTAATCATCGATAATTGTAAAAGATTTTGTTTTGTTTATTGTTATTGTAACTATGTATAACTAATGATGTTATAATATTTTTATGAACTGATAGAAAAAAAAACAGAAAACATTTGACATACACTTGTGCATTGAAATTAATTTCGATGTGCAATTAAAGTGTTTTTTTTTTGTTAAGACCAAAAGTTCCGGGGGTTAGAAAATTCAAATTACAGAATACTTCACTAAATTGAAAATCCCAACCCTGTACTTGAGTGCTGTCAGAGTAGTGTCAAGGATTGCAAATATTGCCTTCAAAGAAGACTGCTCAATTGTTGGTAGTTTTCGAGATGTGAAGTTTTGTCTGGTTTTCATAAAATATCTTTTTTTTGAAAACTTAAATTTATTGTTTTTGTAAAAAATTTGAAGTTGCTAACGTTGTAGTTGAGTACTGTAAGTGTGCTCTTAAGTGCTGCAATTTTTGAGTGCAAATGCGACTGCTCATTTGCTTTTAGTTTACAGGATGTGACCTTTTTTATTGTAATTTTAAAATTTTTCAAAGATCTTATAATTTTTCAAAATTTGAATAAATAAAAACTTGAATTTGAGAAACTTCACAAATTTGAAATTAGCTTCCCTGCAATTCGGTGCTGTCAGAGTATACTCAAAGGATGCAGATCTTATTTCCAATGTATCCGGTTTTTTTATGAGTTGTCAAAAATGAGAAGCACCGGAGGTGCGTTGCGCGCTAGTAATTTTTAAACGCAAGCAATCGTGTTGCTGAACGTGTTTTCCTCATATTGAATATCCCCTGAGACAAGAAATTTGAATTTTTGATGTAATTTTTAAAAACAAGCCTTTATGTCGCTTTGGTTTTTTTTTCTGCTAGCTTGCATATCTACTTTTGGGCGGTGTTTCTAGTGGTGCGAAGCTCTGTTGCGTTTCTGTATTTTGTCCGTATTTGTTAGCTTGTTTTTTCCAAGAAGGTGAATGGCTACCAAATCTGTGAATATCAAATGGACGAATGGAAAAAGTACCTTTAAAAATGTATCATTGTCTCTTGATGAGCCACCTGATGTTTTCAAGGCTCAGATATTTGCTCTGACCAGCGTGCCACCTGAAAGACAAAAAGTAATGCTGAAAGGTAAATTAGTTAACGACGGTGAATGTTGGAATGATTCAATAAAAGCGCTTCTGAAAGACAACTGCACTCTTATGTTGATGGGCTCCGCAGACGAGGTGATTGAAGAACCTAACGAGAAAGTTAAATTCCTAGAAGACATGAATGAATCTGAACGAGCACAAGCTTTTGATGCGCCAATGGGTTTGAAAAACCTGGGGAATACTTGTTATTTGAATGCTACAATCCAATGCCTGAAAACAATACCTGAGCTAGATAAAGCTATTAACGAGTACACGCGCGACACTAACAGTTCGCTCAGTGACGAAACCGATATTGTACAACATATGTCATTGCTGTACCAAAATTTCAACATGACCGAAGAAGCACGAATTCCGGCACTATATATTTTCATCGCAGGCGTGCATAGATGGCAACCGCGCTTCAGCGAGAAAGATGACCACGGAGGGTTTATGCAACAAGATGCTAATGAATTCTACCTTGAATTGCTATCCGAACTCAGGAACAAAGTTAAAACTCCGGGTTCTGAATCGCGTACCTACGTAAAAAAATTGATGGCAATCGAATTAGAGTCAACCACGAAATGCCTGGAAACTGATGATGAGCCAGTGAAAACTGAGAAAGAGAATGAGTTGCAACTCAGTTGTTTCATCAACCAGTCAATTAGTCATATTTACTCTGGAATTAAAAACAAAATGACGGAAACAATTCACAAAAGATCCGAAACATTGGGGCGTGATTCAGACTTCCAGAAGAGTAGTCTAATATCAAGGCTACCAGGATATCTCTGCGTTCAGCTGGTTCGGTTTTCGTATAAGCAAAACAAAGGTGTTAACGCCAAACAATTGCGGGATGTGAAATTTCCAATGGAGCTGGATCTCTATGATTTATGTACACCTGAACTGCAGGGAAAGCTAGAAGCTACTAGAACTCTGCTAAAGGATGAAGATGACAGAAAAGCACTAGAGGTTAAAGCCAAGAAGGCAAAAGGAGAGCCGATGGATACTTGGGAGGGAAGCCAGGAAGTTCAGTATGAGCAGTCTGGATTACCTGACGATCCGTTTTCCAGCAACTCAGCAAAGTATGAATTAATCTCGGTTCTGACTCACCAAGGCCGTAACAGTTCTTCTGGCCATTACATTGCATGGGTGAAAAAAGCCGATGATTATTGGTTTAAATGTGACGATGACAAAATTTCAGCTGTAACTAACGACGAGATACTGAAACTCTCTGGCGGAGGTGACTGGCATATGGCCTATCTGCTGTTTTACAAGACACGAAGTCCTGAAAAAGTTGCTACAAGTAATTAAACGAAATCGCCTATCATTGAGCGTCCTATTATTAAGCTATTATTGTAATATAAAGTTAAAAAGTGAATAGAAGTGCTATTCTTGAATTACTTTGTGTGAATGTGAAAGAGTTAATCAATTCTTTTTAAAACACTGTAGTTTATTAACATTGTTGACCTTGACAAACATAGAAGCCTGTGGTCTCTGCACTTTCGCAAAGCTCTTAATTATTTGAGGGCTGCACTTGACATATGCTTAAGAATCTTCTGTGCTGAAATTTCACGGTCCTTCTATGCCCCAATACTATGTAAAATAGCGCAAATATGTGCACCAATTTTTTTGTTGGAGCATCATTTAAAAAAAAATATTCTGTTTTAAGTGTTCACGATCATTTTTTTATTAGTTTGTTATTTTTGCCTGTCAGTTAACGATTCACGTTCTTCCACTTGCGTTCATTCACACATATGAAACTTCTAGTTGGCCATGTTTTGGGTTTTGTGATTTTTTGTTTGTTTTTCTTTATGGAAAGTTGTTATCGCTCCATCTTGATTTTTCAGGGTTCGATTTTAAGAGTCGATGAACGTAGTTCTGACTCTTATATACTTATGAATTTTATTTCCAATCGAAATAAAATTTTAAGTTATTGCTCAAGTTTTCTCAAATTGAATTAATTTTATCAAAAAAAGTGTCTTTCTTTTTTTTCTATTTTCTTGCGTTCATTGGCTTTTTTCCAGCTGCATGTTGGCTATTGTGGTTGATTAGGAAGATGAATTTTGCGAGAGGAGTAAACAGAGATACGTCACAATTTTTCTTTCTCTTGAATTTTATAGAGTTGTGAAAAGCAGCAGATATAAGTTGGTACCATTTTAGCAGATAAGAATGATCACTAAGGATGTTAGAGGTAATCAAGTGAAAAATTCTCGGAAGGTTGGATTTAAAGATTGAAAAGTTGACATATGATTTGGATAGAGAAGAAGTCAGAACGGAGAAAAAGTCAGTTCCTACCGAATAGGCAATGTTATTATTGTTTAAGAGTAATGAACGTAGTGAAGACTTTCAAATAGGTCTTGCTGATTTTTTTTTCAGGATGCTTAAAAGTCTCTAATAACTACAGATGTGCATTCATACATATTGATTCATTTATAAATGCACTTAGGTGTTAATGAACTTTTTGAGTTCAATTGAAATTCATCTGCCGAAAGTGACGTAAATATCTTTCTCCAAATACGAACGTGGAAATGGCGCGAAAAAAGTGATCGATTTCTAGTTTTGAAATTGGAATTTAATTCTTAGATTTCCAGCGGAATAAAAATTTTACCTGTCGATCTAGTTTTCTCAAGCTGAATTAATGTTATCAAAAAGCGCCAATCATAAATTTTTCTAGATTCTGTAGAATTGGTGATTCTACTGTAATACATGCTATAGTAACCTGAGCGTAAGATTGATTCGTCAGTAATCTAAGTAGCAGAGTAAACAATTGGTTTAGTTGCAAAATCGACCAAAACAAACAGAGACTAAGCAGGATTTTCAAACGGTACCAATTTTGCAACCCCCCCCACCCCTGAAACTCATAGGACGGATACTAGAGATGGTTTGACCCGGGCATGCAGAAATCCAGACCCTTCGCACCCCCGACCCCAAGTGATAAGGGTTCCCGCGAGTGCAAATCGCCCTATCAGAACTCGGTAACTAGCGGTTGGAATGGGCTCAAATTTTAGTATGTTGTAGGCTCAGTTGAGGGAAGCTTTAGTTTGGAACCCCAGACCCCTAAGACCTCCCTTCCGATTTTATGCCCAAAGTAAACAAACCCACCCCTAATTTCCGGAAGTCGTTTCTCGGCCTCCAATGAATGCGGGGAGCTGAAACTTGGAGGGATGATAGGTAGTGGCAAGATACATCTTGTATTATAACTTGAACCAAATCCGGCGGCCGGGCCGGAAGCTAGTAGCACTTAGAAAAACACGCCCTTAGACAGGAAATAGGCAATTTACGCGAAATGATGAAAGGTGGCATAATGATTTTATTGCGGCGTTGGACATAAGATACGAACCCCGGAAAAAGACCCCTAGTGAGTGAAAACCCTCCGGCGATTCCTTCGAGTGTTAATAGTATTTTTCCGGAAAAAGTGATACTGGACCTTTGAAATGGGATAACTTGTGAAGTATTAATGGGATATGAATGAAAATTGGTAGTTGAGACCCCCATGAGATTCTGAACCCAAATATGGATATTTGATCTCTGGGTGACCTTAAGTTGACCTTTGGGCGTTTTGACCCCAAACTTGCATGGAAAACCCCGAGATTAACACCGGAAAGTAGCGTAATCCCCAGCCCAACCCCTGGAAATGAGAATGGGTCACCTTGCAAAAATTGGGGGAAAACTTATATTTCGGGAACTAGAGCAGAAGCTGATAGAGATATAGCTTTTACATTTCAACCTTGGAGTAGAGGATTAAATTCAAAGTGGACCTGGTAAACATTGGGTTCAGTTTAGTTTGGCGAGTGATCTATTAATAGCATTTCAACTAGACTGAAGAAAAGTAGTCCCAGAGGAAATTGATAGTAATAGGACCGTAGCGTGAAAATTAAGTCTCCTAAATAGTATGAACGGACGGGGATTTTACTTTGCTTCCCGGAGGTGACTTTTTGGTTTGATTTGACCCCTAATAGACGGAATACCTTACCCTGATAGCCAAAAGGTCGGGATTGGAATAGAGTACAGATAGAAATTTTAGATGTCTGAAATGAATTAGCAACCCATAAAAAAGGTCTCCCCCTACCCTTAGGAGGTCGGAACGTTAACGGGATATTTAAAATAAAGACCTTGGGAGGATTACTGGGTAAACAAAGCATGGTTTAGAGGTTAGTTGAACTCGAGGGCTGAAGTCACTGAGGTCAGGAATTAGTTGACAAGAATCGTATGACATTTGTTTGCTTGGTCAAATTGTGACAGCTACCGCATACCGGGTATCTAATAAGCGTGAATAGATTGATAAAAGAAACCGAAGTTCGCACGTGGCAGAAGTGACAGGGGGAGGGATATAGCCTTAAAACATGTGCGGATGGGTGATTTAAGCGGATGTCAGGACTGATAGGGAATGGCGTGACTTAACTAAAACTAAGTGTAAAGAAAGATATGGAATTGGAGGGTACCGTAGAGCCTGTAAGAGTCAGAACAGCGTTAGGAACTATGAAGAGTAGTTGGTTCTCGTCAGAGAAGAGAACAATTATTGCTAGCGAATCGAGTAGTTGGTTCTCGAAGTAAGAACAACTGTAGCAGAATAAGTAGATGATAGTTGCTTCTCGTCGGAGATTCTCTAGAGAGAGAATAGTTCAGTATTAGTGGAGTTAGCTGGAAGTTAATTGCAATAAGGCAATTTATGCTGATAAATCGCAGACCCTTTCCTTTTGATTTGATTATTAGATTATAACATGGCCAGTCAGAGCCCTCTTTAATCAGACATATAATCATCTGAATTAAATTGCAAATAGAAACTCGTGCAATTGTATCGAGTAAACAAGACAGCCGGAAGAGCAATACACAAAAGGGGCAAGCAACAGAGCAATACAGGATTTTTGCCACCAAATCAAGCCCTTCGGGATGGTAGAAAGTAGTGAATCTCGGTCGCCCCGCTGAATTCACTGCCAAAGGGACAGCTTGCGAAGGAATCCCCTAATTCTACAGATTCAAAGAGCTTAAAGGGCATCTTTTTTTCTAAATGGCAGTGTTTTTTAAATGTTTAATTGCGTTCATCAATCTCCGGTTGGCTATGGTTGTAAACAGAAGATGGAGAATATTGTTGCCTTTACACGTTGGAACATCCATGAGTATGAACGGACGGGGATTTTACTTTGCTTCCCGGAGGTGACTTTTTGGTTTGATTTGACCCCTAATAGACGGAATACCTTACCCTGATAGCCAAAAGGTCGGGATTGGAATAGAGTACAGATAGAAATTTTAGATGTCTGAAATGAATTAGCAACCCATAAAAAAGGTCTCCCCCTACCCTTAGGAGGTCGGAACGTTAACGGGATATTTAAAATAAAGACCTTGGGAGGATTACTGGGTAAACAAAGCATGGTTTAGAGGTTAGTTGAACTCGAGGGCTGAAGTCACTGAGGTCAGGAATTAGTTGACAAGAATCGTATGACATTTGTTTGCTTGGTCAAATTGTGACAGCTACCGCATACCGGGTATCTAATAAGCGTGAATAGATTGATAAAAGAAACCGAAGTTCGCACGTGGCAGAAGTGACAGGGGGAGGGATATAGCCTTAAAACATGTGCGGATGGGTGATTTAAGCGGATGTCAGGACTGATAGGGAATGGCGTGACTTAACTAAAACTAAGTGTAAAGAAAGATATGGAATTGGAGGGTACCGTAGAGCCTGTAAGAGTCAGAACAGCGTTAGGAACTATGAAGAGTAGTTGGTTCTCGTCAGAGAAGAGAACAATTATTGCTAGCGAATCGAGTAGTTGGTTCTCGAAGTAAGAACAACTGTAGCAGAATAAGTAGATGATAGTTGCTTCTCGTCGGAGATTCTCTAGAGAGAGAATAGTTCAGTATTAGTGGAGTTAGCTGGAAGTTAATTGCAATAAGGCAATTTATGCTGATAAATCGCAGACCCTTTCCTTTTGATTTGATTATTAGATTATAACATGGCCAGTCAGAGCCCTCTCTAATCAGACATATAATCATCTGAATTAAATTGCAAATAGAAACTCGTGCGATTGTATCGAGTAAACAAGACAGCCGGAAGAGCAATACACAAAAGGGGCAAGCAACAGAGCAATACAGGATTTTTGCCACCAAATCAAGCCCTTCGGGATGGTAGAAAGTAGTGAATCTCGGTCGCCCCGCTGAATTCACTGCCAAAGGGACAGCTTGCGAAGGAATCCCCTAATTCTACAGATTCAAAGAGCTTAAAGGGCATCTTTTTTTCTAAATGGCAGTGTTTTTTAAATGTTTAATTGCGTTCATCAATCTCCGGTTGGCTATGGTTGTAAACAGAAGATGGAGAATATTGTTGCCTTTACACGTTGGAACATCCATGAGTTGTCAGACATAATTCACATTTGGCTTCCAGAAATGCTGGTTCTTGAGAATTTTAAGAATTGATTGTCGACCACTTAATAGTGCTTTAGTTGAAGT